TGATGGTTTTGCGTATCACGATGTCATCATGGTTGTTTTGTGTCTGTTTTAGGTACTTTTGCATGTTTTCGTGGCCATTTTCAGTGTTTTTTGGTCGTCTTTCATATCATTGTGGTGGTTTTGAGTCGGTTTGTGTCTGTTTTGTGTCGCTTTTAGATGGTTTTGCACGTCTTTGTAGCCATTTTTAGTGTCTTTGTGGTGGTTTTGTGTGTTTTTTGGTGGATTTGTGTTTACTTTTGGTGGTTTTATTTGTCTTTGTAGCCTTTTTTAGTGTCTGTGTGGTGGTTTTTGGTGTCGCTTTGGTGGTTTTGCATGTCTCTGTAGCTATTTGTACTGTTTTTGTGATGGTTTTGCATTTCACGGTGTCGTCATGGTTGTTTTTGTGTCTGTTTTAGGCCATTGTTTGTATGTTTGTTTTTGTGTCTGTTTTAGGCCATTGTTTGTATGTTTTTGTGACCATTTTCAGTGTTGTTTTGGTTGCCTCTCATATCATCGTGGTGGTTTCGATGTCTTTGTGGTGGTTTTGAGTTGGTTTGTGGTGATTTGGCATATTATGGTGTTCTGTGTCTCTTTGTGTCTCCTTTAGGTGGTTTTGCACGTCTTTGTAGCCATTTTTAGGGTCTTTGTGGTGGTTTTGTCTATGATTTCAGTGATTTTATGTCCTTGTAGTTGTTTCATGTCTCCTGGTGGTAGCTTTGTGGCTAATTATATCCAATTAGATTCTCTTTGTGGTGGTTTTGTGTATTATTGTGCAGTTTAAGTGTCTGTATGGTAGTTTTATTGTTTTTTGGTAGCTTTTGCATGTGTGTTTCTGTGGTGATTTTATGTCTCTCAGTGGTGTTTATGAATGTCTGCAGCCATTTTCTTTGTCTTTGTGGTGGTTTTATATGTCGTTGTGGCAGTTTGTGTGTCTTTGTTGTAGTTTTAAGTGTCACTTTGATGGTTTTGCACGTCTCTGCAGCCATTTGTACTGCTGCTGTGATGGTTTTGTGTCTGTTTGTGGTGGTTTTGTCTCTCTTTTTGAGCCATTTTGAGTCCCTTTGTGCTGGTTTTGTGTATCAGGGTGTCGTTATGGTTGTTTCGTTGTCAGTTTGTGGTGGTTTTGTGTGTTTTGTAGATGGTTTTGTGTGTTTTTGTGACTAGTTTTAGTGTTTTTTGGTAGTTTTGCCATATCATTGTGGTCATTTGAATGTATTTTGGTGTTTTGTGTTTCTTTTTCAGGTCGTTTTGTACGTCTTTGTAGTTGTTTCGTGTTTCTTCATGGTGAGTTTGTCTCTCCTAGTGGTAGTGTTGTGTCTATTTAAATCTAATTTGATTCTCTTTGTGGTGGTTTTGACTTCTGTTGGTCTTTGTAGTGACATTCTACTGACCCTTCAGGTCCTGATGCCCTAAAGCTCATTCTATGAATGATCAGAAAATACTGCCAATAAATCAATGTGTTGTACTTGACAGATAATTACAGCTGTTATTGTTGTTTGTAGTTTTTCACTACTCTCATTGCATTCTCTGCTGTGATTTGAAGGTCTCTAAAAGTCTTGGCATTAATCAGCGAACACTGCAGAACCCTGTGTAAGCACACCTTCAGCTGAAGCACATGCACAACAGAAAACATTAAAGTGGAGGGCAGATTAAAGGCAGTGCGTGAAAGTGAACAGCTCAGCTTGTGACGCCTCCAAGTATCACATCCACATGTACAGTTTCCATCTTTCATGCAACCTCTGCGGATTTTCAGTGTTTCTGCTCTTCCCGGTAAAGCCTCTGGCTACCACCCTAATGAGCTATTCCCAGGGAGAGGTGTAGCATTCAGACGGGGGAATAGATGGAGGACAGAAAACCTCTAACGTATATCTAATGCACAAATCTCAGCTTTACAGAAGGATGAAATAAATAGAGGAAACAGGCACAGAGACGAGGATGCTCCCATTTTCCCTGATCTTGTGTTCCTTCGGTGCCCATTTTATCTCCGATAAAGGACACTTAGTGATATTTGTTCTCTTCCAGTAAAACCCTGAGGCGACTCTCCTCTACTCCCATGCATTCACACCAACACACACACAAACACACAGTCTGTACTTTAAATTACTTAACACAGACCCTGTAGCCTCCTGACTTCTGTTTCAAAATACAATCAAATCATTCCTCTATATAATTACACTGTATTCTTAAATAACATTAAAGATAATTGATGCAGCCACTTGACTGCGACTCTCTGAAATCTCCCTCTTTGTCAGTGCAGCTCTGACTCAGCAAACGGCAGAAAATGGGCACAATTTCCTCCCTAATATCCCAGAGTTTATGTCAATGTCACAGAAAGCCAATCCAGGGCAAATGTAGAGCGCACAGAAAAAGGAAATTATTTCCGATAAAGGTCCGTCCGTCCGCAGTTTTAAAATTCAATAACAGTTTACACTCGAGAAGAACATACCCTTTGTGTCCCTGCTCAGTATCCTTGTGAAGATGGTGTAAATGACTCACTTGACGTCAATCCAGAAAAAACTATTTAGAGGTGTACTGGGGAAGCATCTGGACACAACGCCTGAAGAAAGTAATAGAAGAAGTAAGGGAACCAGCCGATCACAAAAACTCCCACCATGCGGGCCAGGATGAAGGTGAAACTCTTCTCCTGAGATGCCACCGGACTTGCGATGGGATGTTGGGTTCCCTTGAAAATGGGAACAACTTCGTCCTTAAAGTCCCAGAGTTCATTTCAACACCACAGAGTCAATCCCAATCAAATGGAAAGAGTAACGAAAGAGGGAAATAATTTCCAATAAAGGTCCATCTGTCCGCCTGAAGTGTTAAAATTTGATAACAGTTTCCACTCTGGAAGAACATACCCTTTGTGTCCCTGCTTAGCACCCTTATGAAGATGGTGCAAATGACCATGTTGATTCATGAGTTGCAGTCGCCGATCCTGAAGAAGAACTTAAAAAGGTGGTGATGGATGCTGCCACCTGTAGGAAGTAAGAGAAGAAGGGAACCAGCAAATCAAAAACACTCTAAAGTGAAGCTCTTCTCCTCAGTCGCCGTTGGCCCTGTGACAGGATGTTGGTGTCTCTTGATTCTTGGGGATCTCATCAGGTGCCAGTTTGGTGGTGGACAACGTGGCCGTGGTGTTTCTGTACCTGCAGATCAGTTTATCCTTCATGTCACAGAAAGTCAATCCAGGTCAAACAGAGAGAGAACAGAAAAATGGAAATCATTTCCAATAAAGGTATGTCTGTCCACTGGCGGTTTTAACGTTAAATAACAGTTTCCGCTCAAGAAGAATGTTCCATTTGTATCCCTGTTTAGTATCCTTTTGAAGATGGTGTAAATAACCAGGTTGAGGCTCATCCAGAAAAATGATTTAAAAAGGAGTTTGTGGAAGTGTTGGGGCACACCGCTTGAAAGGAGTAAAAGAAGAAGAAAGTGAACCAGCGGATCACCAACATCCCACCGTGATGGCCAGAACAAAGATGAACCTCGTCTCTGAGTCACCATTGGCCTTGAGATGGGATGTTGGTATACCTTGAGTCTGTTCAGGTACCAGTTTGGTGATAGACAATGAGGCCATGGTGTTTTTGTACCTGCAGGCCAGATTCAGTGCCTGCCAGCTTACTGTAGACAATGGACACAATTTTCTTCTTAATGTCCAAGAGTTGGTGTTAATACCACGGAAAGTCAATCCTGATCAAATGTAGAGAGTATAGAAAAAGGGTCTTTTCTGTCTGACGAGGGTTCAAAACTTAGTAACAGCTTTTGCCCTAGAAGAATGTACCTTTTGTGTCCCTGCTCAGTATCTTCTTGAAGGCCCTCCTGAAGTCCTTGTTGAAGATAGTGTATATGACCGGATTGAGGCATGAGTTGCAGTAGCCGATCCAGAAGAAGAACTTAAACAAAGGGTTGGGGATGCTGCAAGTGTCTGGGCACACCGCCTGAAGGGAGTAAGATAAGAAGAAGGGGAACCAGCAGATCACAAACACTCCCATCACAACAGCCAGGACAAAGGTGAACCTCTTCTCCCGGTTTGCCATGGCCTTGCGGCGGGATGTGGGCGTCCCCTGCATCTTGGGCGTGTCCTCGGCTACCAGTTTGGTGCCGGTTGATGTCGCCATGGTGTTTTTGTACCTGCAGGCCAGTTTCAGTGCCTGAACTTTGAAGCTTTTGTTTTTGGATGTTTCAAACGTTTGTTCCTTCGGCTTCTTTGATTTTTCTCCTGTTGGAATGCCTTCCTCATCGATTTCTAATTCGGCATCAGAGCCGAAGCTGGAGGTGTTGTCGGGGAGTGCTTCCCTGCCTTGATCTTCATGCTTTGGGGGAATTCTTTGGACTGTATCAGGATGGCGCTCAGCTGTGTCTTCAATTGGGTGTTGAAGTGATGGCGGGTTGGAATCCGATCCGGACATTGTAGCGTCTGTTTTCTCCCGTTGGCTGGTGCTTCGCTGATCCCCGTTCTGTTGTGACTGCTCCGATAACTTTGGAGAAGGTTCACCGGCGTTTCCTCCTGCTGCTGCAGCTTTATGCTTCTGTCCAGGTGGACAGCGGGTGTGCTGCTTGGCGATCTGATAAATCCTAATGTACACCAGAATCATGATCACACAGGGGGCGAAGAATGAGCCGATGGTGGAGTAGAGGATGTACCAGCGCTCGTTGTTTAGCTCGCAAACCTCTTCGCCTCCTTCGCTCTTGTCCAGTGTGAGAAGAGGTGGGAAGGAGATGACAGCAGAGATCAGCCACACAACGATAATGGCCGCCTTGATGCGTAGCGGGGTACGTTTGGCGCCGTAGGACACAGGCCGTGAGATTGACAGGTAGCGGTCCAGTGCTATCGCGCACAGGTGGACTATGGAGGAGGTGCAGAAGAGGACGTCCAGCGCCAGGTATATCTCACACCAGATGGAGCTGAACGCCCAGTAGCCCTGCAGCTCGTTTGCCAGCGAGAAGGGAATGATGAGCGTGGCGACCAAAATGTCGGCAGCTGCCAGTGACACTAGGAAGAGGTTCTGAGCCCCCTTCAGGGAGCGAGACGTCAGGACGGCGATGATGACCAGGATGTTCCCGACGATGGTCAGGAGCATCATGGACGTGATGGCGATGGCGAAGGCAGCGGTAGCTTGAGGCGTGTAGGGCGAGGACCTGACGGTGCTCCGGTTGCAGAGTCGGGCGCCGGAGACGAGGCTGATGTTCCTGTTGGGGAGTCCGCCGAGCTCCGACAGGCAGGGAGCATCTGGAGCAGCTGCCATGGTGACGAGGGAAACTTTAAAAGGTGTTTCTACGGTAGGACATCAAGAAACTGGACGTCCTCAGGACTGAGGGGCTGATGGATTCAGTCAAGGCGACGCCATGTGATCTTTACATGAAGATCTACAAGAGACAAAAACATTTTAATACATGTGAAATAATGTATGAAATTAGATTGAACAAATAAGGCTGTGATCATTAAGAGTTTCCATTGTTGATTAATTTGTTGATTTTTTTCTCATGTAAACAACTTTTAACAACAATTAGTTGCTTGGTTTGTAAGATGGCCAAGATCTTCAGTTTCTTGTCATGAAGAAGGAAGGAAACCCAAAAACACTCACATTTAGGAAGCTGCAATCACAGACTATGCGCTGTTCTTCAGGGATGTACTGAGCCCAGCCCTGAACTAAACCTTAAACCAGCCCTGAACTAAACCTTAAACCAACCCTGAACTAACCCTTAAACCAACCCTGAACTAAACCTTAAACCAACCCTGAACTAACCCTTAAACCAACCCTGAACTAAACCTTAAACCAGCCCTGAACTAAACCTTAAACCAACCCTGAACTAAACCTTAAACCAGCCCTGAACTCGAAGGTTAATGTTGGAATTTTTATCTGATCGGTAGCGGCATAAATCTTTGTCCAATTCTTTGACTGTGT